AAAAAATATTTAATTACAAAAAAGGTTTCGGCTTTAGGGCACTGCAAGTTCATAATGATTATGTTACTCCAGTCCCAAACAGGAGTATGGACATCTGAAATCTAAGGTCAGTTGAAACAAGCTAACTGGATTATATATAGCATCATGTACCTACTACTACCTAGAAATCCTGACTCTCGTGTGACAGATGAAGCTCAATAGAAAACCATTCACAGTTCAGATCTGTAGATGAAGTGACAGCTTTATTTGTAAGTGTACATTATCTGACAATACAGCTTCTGTATTATCAGATGATAATACAGAAAAATTCATATTCTGGAAAAACAGAACAGAGCCCCAAGGGGCTGACCCTACAAAAGCAGATGTTTACAATCTTTACCAAGTCTGTTAAAAAAAATTAAGTACTGTTCCAGTATTACCATTACTTTATATCACAGACACTTCCAACCTACCCCCAAACCCAAGCAGAAAGTACCTACTATATTCTACCTGCATGCCAGTATCTTTGCCTTAAGAGCTGGAGCTCCAGTTACAGTGTTTCACTCCAGACAGCATGTTTGGTTCTCATTTTAAAAGTCTTGGAAAAAAACTGCACAGGAATAATTTTTACTAATTTGATTCTTCTTGGTAGTTTACTTTCCACATTATATTGTGATGGTTTGGAGTACACTTGCATCACAGCAAAAATTAAATTCAGTATCTTACCTCTTGTGGCTGAATCTCAGACTTCATAAGTTCCATTAGACATTCTAGAGAGAGGAATATCTACATAAGTAGTAGAAGCAAATTAATGGTGGGACCTTTGATCACCTCAAAATGCCTCAAACTTACTGCCAAGTTGCAGAATGTGTTAACCCAGATTTACTCTGAAACAATTATGGAAGCAATCTCATGTTTGACCAAGTGTTCTGGTTTTCCAGAGACATTTGTGGAAGGTCTAATACAGAAGGCTTACTAATGCAACGCCAATGTGGTACAACTAGAGCTTCCTGAAGATGTTCCCTACAGCTTCAACAATGCAAGGAGTAGTCAAAAAACCCAAACACCCAGTCAAAACAGCAGATAGGGTTTTGGGTTTTTTTGTTTAATTGGTATTGCTGTTTCTTATAACTCTTTGTTTCCATTTTATTTCAACTATAGAGTTCATTCCTAATGAAAGACTAAAATTTACTTCATCATTTAGCTAAAGTGAGCTGAAATGTATTAGAAGAAAACCTACCACCAAACAAATGATGTTTTCACCTTCCTTCATACTCACGATTAAGCCTATACAAATCAAGCTATGAATTGAACATTTGGAGGCTTAAATGAGTGTTACAACATGAAACCTAAAATTTAAACTTTGTTCAACCTGGGTCTTTAGCAGACTCTCTTTTGGACAGCTGTCTTGTTCTCTCAGGTTTTCTCAGTCCTTCCTCTTCCAGTTCTTTTAATGGCATTGCATTGTGAGGAGCAGGAACATTTTCAAAATATCCAGAATCTAAGAGTTTGGATAACAGTTCCTTCAAATGTCCATCTGACAAATTAAAAAAAATAGTTATAATACAAACTAGGAAGTTACAAAATTATTCATGAAAAAAAGTGTTGTTGGTGTCCCCTTCTCTTCATTTAAAATGAAAACTACCCAAAAATAATTTTGATTAAACACTTCAAGTTAGAGAAGTTACAAAATTTAGCCTTTTAACAAAGGTTACCAAGTAAAATGGTAACAGCTTAGACATTGGACACAGAGAGGTCCTCTGTAACCAACTATATTCTACACAGGTCTATAGCAGAGGTGCACTGATATACAATATGAACCAATTATTGGCACCGATAAAAGGAAAACTGACACTGGCAATCTGCTTTTTCTGGCCAATGTGGTTGATAACACCACAGATAAATGACGTGTGCATGTCCACAGCTACAACATGCATGCAGCCTGGAATGCAGTCCAGCAACCAAGGGACCAGTTGTCTCTCAGAAAGTGGGGTGCCCAGGGCTCTCTCAGAGGGATTA